GGCTCAATCAAACCCCACTCCCACGGTGTCCCCGAGCCCCAGGACGGGCGCTGCCCACGGAGCCAGAACCACCGCGGCACTCAATGCCAAATCCTTTATACCGAAATCACGGCTGTCACGTTTACGTACTGTGATTACAGAGTGTAGCTTGTGCGCGGCGAGAAGGGACCCGTAAGCAAGATAAATGACCGGCACCCGCTCACGCTCTCTCCTGCGGATGACAGCAACTCCTGAAGGTTTGGTTCTTAACTATAATCTCAGCTGCCTTTTTCTTTTTTAGAGGGGAAATTCGCATACGGTCTTGAAACTGTGACCTGCTGTTAAAAGCAACGAAAGAGCAGCAGGGGTGTGCCACAAAACCAGCCGCACCCCCAACGCAAGGAGACACTGCAGACCCCCAGCAGCCTGGCCGAGTCCCTGCGGGCGTCACCACAGCAGCTTAATTAATAAGCAACAGGGCTGCTAGAAGAGCCCTAGGAAAGGCTCTACACACATTTTTAGGAAGAAGCCATCGCGGAGCGCAGTACAAAAGCACGCGCGAGGCAAGCGACACGCAGCTGCTCTGCAGCGGGGCGTCCCGTGCTGGGACACGGCAGGGACATCTCCCTACCCCCGGCTGGTCTGCAGCCAGAAAGCACGACTGCCACAAAACAGCTCTTTCCACCCAACATGGACAGTCCATCTATGATGTAGTTTCTACATGTGAAGCCCTAAAAAATAAGTCACACCAATGTTCAAACATAATATTTTTATTTGTGGATAAAAATTAAGGCTCACAGTACTTTATCATTTCACAAGCAGAAAAATGTTAAAAATTGAGAATGATGGGGAATGCCCCCAATACAAATTCCTCTAACTGCTGACATGTTTTACTGAAGACTCGAGGTGAACAATTGTACAGGGCAGCTACAGTTATTAGTTTGTAAACTAGGTGCTAAATATATATTTTTTTTTTTTAAGAAATGTGAACAGAGTATTATGTTCCTCTCCACTTCTGGCTGTCCGATACACATGGATTCCATAAAAACACCCAAGAACCGCTGGGATGATAACACCAACCTTCCTAAGAACAACCCACCACGTCTACAATGCATGGCACAGGTGTCAAACCAGGGAAGAGAGCTCGAGATCACAAAATTCGGTAAGACGTTTTGATTATAGTGCAATAGGTTATGCCTAAAATTCTCACTATGCAACTTTCCGGCTTAAAAAAACCCCAAGAAAAACCAAAGTATGTTCCTAAGAGCACAGGACTTGCTGTCAAGCTCCATTTCATTAGACACGAAAGCAACCCAGGTGACTAAACAGTGGTAAAAGAGCACGTCGAACTTGAGTGCCCACAGAGCGTACAGGTCTACATCGTGCCCACAGTTATGATGCAACTCCACAAAGGGCTTCCAGGGGTGCAACGTGCAGTGAATGCAGGATTTCCGTCCGGGCGTGCTGCGGGTGTGCGGTCCAGAGGCACAACAGTGACTGTAACCCCCAGCCCCGCGGGCAGCGCCGTCGCCACCCAAGTTTTCCTGCGAGTTACGTCATAACTACGGGACTATACACTGCAGATTTATTTACACGGAGAGCAACTAAGCGTCCCAGTCAACACGGAGAAAGGTTTGGGTTTCAGAGGTGCTCTATATTCTTTGCGGTAGTTTTTAGTAATTGCTTCTGTTTTGCCTATTTGCTGTCAAGGCAACACAAACCGGCGGCAGCAGCAGCAAGCTGACTTAAAATAAGCAACAACCATTATAGCATTAAAAGGCTGAAGGATTTCTGCATCACACAAAAAAGATTAATTGCTTCTCAACACACCCTCGACATCCCAGGTACCAACAAGTAATGAAAACAACTATCCTCAGCTTTTTCTGACAAAAAAATTAAGATGTACTCTAAGGCCATGATCTCGTTAGGGAGCTTTCTTCAGAGACAAGCTACAAAGAAAATCTGAACCCATCCTGTAACAGATCCTGCCACAGCACACACCGATTTACAGTGGTTTTGACCAACAGCTCACACAGATCACAATCCAGTAATAAAAGCACATTTGTATTGCTAATCACTCACATCACAAAAAGCTCCTCCAGAGGGCTCAAAGAGGTTACGATAGGTAGATGTGGGTAAGAATTACTACCCCGAAGGAGGCAACTGAGATCTCAAGTAAGACCAATTTGCCCAAGCTGCCGGCGCAGGGTCGGGAGGAGGCGGCAGCGGTCCTGACTCCGAAGGACACCGGCCGCTGCTCTGCTGCCCATCACGTCCCCAGCAGGTTTCAGAGCTGTAACACGCCGCCTCCTCCTCCCGCAACTGAAAAACCACCGCTCGACAACACAGGCAAAAGAATAAATTTACACAAGTTAGCCATTTCCTACAAGCAGAAATTAAATTTCCATAATGTGTAGGCAGTAAGTGTAAGAACAACAGGAAAACGTGCGCAATCAAAAGAATATAGAACAAACACTTTCAACCATTATTTCAGTTCACAAATCTAGGCAAGTGGAAATATAAGTAGCTACAGCCATGAAATACTCCATGTTACTGAACAGTTTAAAACAAGTATTCTACCCCACAATACTATGGCAATCTTGCAGCTGAATGAAATGCAACTGCTTAAATAAAAAAAAAAAAAAAAAAAAAGGCTAAGAGGGATGAGCCTGGGTACACCGTCACGGTTCCACCGGTGGAGGGACCCGGCAGGCACCCAGCACGCTGCTCGACTCCGAATTCAACTGTTACTTTCACAGACAGCAATCGCAGGACGTGCTCAAAGGTCTGAGGTGGATGGAAACAGCTTTGCCTCGACACATCAGAAAAGCACAGGTGTCCAAAGTAACCATCGCTCATTATTGCTCAACTACATCGACAGCAGAATACGACTGACGGAAGGGATCTATACGGGCAGGCTAAGTCACCTCCGATACCATGACTCCACACTTACGACTATAACGATCTTAAAGATCAAGCTAAGTACAATACATACAAAAAAATTCCTGTAAAAGCAAACACGTAGAAAATAAACGGTCATCAAGTGTAAGGAAAGCACATCGGCAGCAGGCTGCGAAGGGACTGCTGCGCAAGCGTCGCGGGACAGAAACAGGATTCGCAGATCCAGTAGCTCTGGTGCGACAGCTTTCCAAACTGCACTCCCACTGCCACGCTCCCACCAGCGTCCCCAGAAGCACACAGAGACGTCACTGGCTGGAATCTGACACACGCATACGTGCAGTAAGGATATACTGCAGATCAGCCGGTGTACACACGTCCGGTACCAACACGCACACCTACCGAGCGATGCAAGAGGGAGCGAGTACTGAAAGACAGACAGAGGTAATTTCATAATATTTTAGCATTGCTCTTTTGGAGCTCAGCGTTACTGCCGTGGGCTAACACGTCAAACAATATAGAACAGGCTAAACAGTATACAACAGATACACGGGAATTCCACAACTCAACGGTACCCACTACTCCATTTGGCAAAATATTTATTTATAATAAATCCGTTCAAAAGCAGTTGGTCACAATTCATTTTACATTTTTAGGCTGTAACAATGCTTGTGGTAAAAGTAAATAAACTGTCTCTTTTTACACAGTGTACAAAAACAAAGAGACATTGAAATGACAGTCAACAATAAAACACATGAAAAGAGGAAGAATCGGTAAGACAAAGGCAAAAGCAATAGGAATCTGCGCACCGGCAACGCTGCCATGATTATTTACCCGTACAAATCCTCAGCCTCACTTAGTTATTATTCCCAGCACAGCTCTTAACTGCAGGTTTATGCTCCAGGAGAGGAATCTGATGCGATGTAGCAGCTCCAGTCACTCTTTCACAGTACTGCATGTCAACACTGGGAATGGTTTCTGATATGATTTAGACTGCACACAGTACTTTAATAGAAAAAAAAGTTAATTACTCCCACTCCGTAGTTCCTGGTGGCTTTGATGTCAAGTCATACATCACCCGAGAAATGCCAGGAATCTTCTTAATCTCCGCCACCATTTTTAACACAACCTAGCGTGGAGAAAAAAAAAAAAAAAAAAGAAAATCAGAACCATGTAAAACAGACCTGATGAAAACTATCCGAGAAAAGCTTAAAAAAGGAAAACTTGGTTCACACTAATTCTGTTACACACAAGAGCCTATAGCTATTAGCATGTTACCACCAATTAAGAAATAAAATCAACTTAAAACCTCTAGCTTCACAGCAGTTACACTTGGAACTCGCTGACTTTGGGCACCGATAATAAACCAGGGTGTGGATCACACTACACCTCCCTCGAGGCAGCAGCTCTTCAGCTCCAAAACTATTTCTTGGAAGTTGGGCAGGGACACGCGCTGTTTTGTGTTACTATCGATCACTTCCAGACTTTTCTCAGACCATCATCTCCAGCTGAACCACCACACACAGCAGCAGCCTGAGTGAAACCTCTTTCAAAACAAAAAGGGAGCTGGAAAGGTGAAAAAAGCAGAAAGAAGCATCCGAAGGAAGGAGTTCCCACTGAGAGTTACTCTCCCCAGTTCACAATCAATTCGCGTGAGTGAGCAAAAAGGATTCTGGCTGAGAATTTGCTGATCCTTAGAAGTTCAGCTTCCTTACAAATCCCACAGTTCACAACAATACCACTTGTGTGACATGCTGTTTAACAGCGTGTTGGCTCTCCATAAGAGGACACAGAAAATTTTTAATCAAATATGATTATTTTCCCCATAAATACAGGGATTTTCCACAACCTCTACTATTTTGTTACCACCTTAGTACCTGGCCTTAAAGTGACCATTTTACATGTTGATGAATATGGAAGTTTTTGTTTGGTTGTGGGTTTTGTCATGTTTGGTTGTTTTAGGTTTTAACACGAATTTCAAGGTCGAATGAATCCTCATTTCATATAAGGGAATAGTTTATGTGGTAACTTAATAATTCAATGATTTCAATAATTTCTTTTTAAATGGATAGGCTGCCTTAAAGTAGAAGGCTTCAGTTACATGCAATTACTACACAATGCCTACATGCTTTTAAAGTATGTTTAAAAAAAAAGTCAATTCTGTTCTTCAGCTACACTGCATTCCCAGAGAGGCAAAGTACTTGAAACTGGACGTGGACAAAGTTTCCCAGAAAAATATGCCTGAACTTGACTCCTAAGTTCTTTTAGTGACCTAAATCGAGAACAGCGCACTGAGATGTTAAACAGTGCATTCCAGTAAAATCAGAAGTAGCAATCAATGGCAATTCTGTAAGACATTTCCAATTACTAATGCAAATATTAATTTCAAAATCCCAGGTATGTACGGTTGGGGTATTCTTTCTTTCTTAATTGATGGTATTTTGGCTCAACTCTGCTGGAAAGCCTTTAGGTCATACCCATATGCCAGCTTCTCATCTTGTTACAGTTTTTTCCCAAACCACCACCATACTCTTCCTAATGAATACTATGAGACACACAAAAAGTTGCAAAAAAAAAAAAAAAATCAAAGTCCAGGCAAGCAATCAAGAGAGAAGGAAGAAAGTCAAAATGAGTCATCTACAATACTAGCTCACATTGAAAAGAAACTTGAAAACCCATAATTACCTCTTCTGGAACCTCATTACCAGGAGTTGCTGCAATACCGGTCATAAAATCACTTGTAATAAAAGTTCGAATAACCACAGATCTTTGACAGGAAGGTTGTTTCTGTAGGGGGTCCCGATCAAAATGCAACGGTGTCAGTATTATTGGCATCTGGCTAATTTTTCCAGCATAACCTTCAGAAAAATAGCAGTACACAGTGCATTAATTTGGTTTAAAAACACAGGCCTGAGAAGTTTTACAGAATTTCCCATATGCACTTCAAACTATATACTAGGAGCTACATCTACATCTTCTGGGATCTTTCAGCTACTGCTACCATACCCCAGATCACCACCTCAGCGGTGCACACACTGAAACGACTCCAATTGCCACTTGAAATGATCGTCAGCGTTTGCAGGTATGCAGAACAAAACCAGGTAATCTCAGTCATCCCTGTAATTCGCTGTGAATACAAGTTAAGATCTCCTTTCCTTCCCATATACCATAACCATGGGGTTTAATCTGTCCCCATACCAAGCACAATAAAGAGCCGTTCCCAAGTATCTCCACGTCTTTGACATATTTAAGAGAAAGCTCTTAACTACCCGTGTTGCTGGTGGTTGATAGGTAACTTCAGACAATCATCCTTTTTTTTTTTCTCCCCTCTTAAAAACTCTCCTTCTGAAAGCCAATATACAGACCTCCTAATTTCAGTGTTTCAATGACGTAAAAGTTTGAGATTCAGGTGTGCGGCAGCCTGCAGAGCCAGTCTAACACCGATGCAGCTCTCGCCCTCCGCTAGCACCGGCCCGAGCTGTTGGTACAGGGAGTCTTTTTCACTAAACGGTAACTCACGTGTTATTTTTGGGAGCGACTCATTCACACAAAGCCAAGTGTCACGAAAAGTTCGCGAGACACATCTACAGTTTTACAAACACAATTGGCAGTGTTATCCTCAACCTTTTGAGGCTATTTTTGTACAAATCATGGTAAAACAGTCTTGCAAACAGAACATGGATCTTCAAAAAGAGATATCCTTTTAAACTTGATTCAGCCAAAATACAGGCAAGTCTGACAAACTGCTTCCCACACATATCACATCTTCAAATGTAATTAAGTAAAAAAACCCAACAACTGACCCTCAGAACTCCTATATTCCCAGACTCTGCCTGTGTACCACATCACAGGGTACTGAATGCTCCCTGGATGTTAAGGGTTTGAAATATCACCATCTGCTAGACTGAAGTGGTTGGGTTTACAAAATACAGCTTTTACTTTAAGTTAATATGAAACCACCATAGGTAGTGAGCATCATTGCCATGAGAAACTTGGTATTCAGGCTCCTTTCT